CACAATACACAGAGCAGGATGCTCCAACCTCCCCCCCACAACACAGAGCAGGATGCTCTAGCATCCCCCCCATACACACACACACAGAGCAGGCTTCTGGCCAGCATCCATGTGCCATAAAAAGTCATGAAGCTTCAAGGAGTTTGTGTCCTGACTCCACAAGCCCACCGCCTGGGCAGCCCACCTCCCATGATGGGTCCCCAGGAGCCACTAACCTCCCCCTCGTCCTTGGTGAGCAGCTGGGCGCAGCTGAGGAAGTCCTCATACCTGGCGAAGGGGACCACGGGCTCAGGGAGCTCCCGCAGGTAGAGTTTCAGCAGGGAGGCCACTGTGTGCACGTCCGTTGTGCTGGGGGCAGAAGAGGGCACACATGTAAGGCCTGGGATGCCAGGGAACAGCAGGAGTGACCAATGCCTTGGACTCCCCTCTGCAAAAAGGCAGCCTCTGGTCTCAGGTCCATGCATGTGTGCATGCGGCGTGGCCACATCTGCAGCCACCTGCCCCTGGTCAAGGAAAGGCCCAGGCTGCTTCCAGGAGCTGGGGACAGGGCTCCAGTGGGTGGGGACCAAGGCTCTGAGGCTGGAAGCTCCAGCTCAGGGACGTATTGAGAACACCTGAGTCTGGAGCCTGTGTCAGTCGGTCTGGACAGCCATCTCTGCTGCATAGATGATGTGGGACTCCAGGGTTGATGTCCACTCCCTGCAGCAAAAGCCACAGGGCTCTGCAGGGCAAAGCACACATGACCTGGGCCACTCTGCAGAGGAGGGCCCTGTGACAGCAGGCCATGGAACAGGTGGCAGTGAGGGGTCCCCTTCCTCAGCCTGGTGTCCTGCCCAAGGTCCCCTGCAGGGCGATGTGGGAACTGCCTGCTCCCTGCCAGCCCCCACCAGGTGCTGCCATGCCCTGGCCTGAGCTTGCTCAGTCTCTTGGCTGGAAAGGCACAACTGTGCAGGGCTGCCGAGCTTACTGACAGAAGGCATCTGGGCAGAGCCACCAGGGGCTGGGCAGGTCAGAGGTCATGCCCTTGACCCAGACCTCTGGGTTCCTGTCCACATGTGGGTAGCCTGAGCCTCTGTGCTCATCATGATCTCCAGTGCCCCGTGGGTCCACTCCTAGGCCTGTCTCCTCTCCTAGCTCAGAGCTGCCCAGGCTGAAGTGGGCCGGCTGTGGAAGGCAGTGGCCCCGGGCTAGGCCCTTTCTCTCCTGGGGTCCGGTTTGGGTTCTGCAGTTCAGTTGCTGGACGAGAGCCTCCAGACTTGCATTCCAAGTTGTGTCTGGGCCCCAGGTGGTGCATCAGCTTGTTTAGGGGCCTGGATTTAAACCCTGGCCCTGCATTTCACCCAGGGGACACACTTGGGAAAGATAGGCCTGGGGCAGGAGAGAGTAGCTGTGCCATTAAATTGTCACCGGGCATTGGCCAAGTCCCGTGCTGGTCCGGCCCTGACATTTGGGATTCTGGAGTTCCATATGCCCATATGTACCCCAAATCCATACACTTGGGATCCCTCCTGCCTCAGGCCTGGTGGCTCTTGGTCTGGCTGGGGCCAAGCAGCCCCGTCCGTGCCCCCAACCTTCTCTCTCCAGCCAGGCATGCTGCTGCCCATGACCCCTCTGCCTCCTCCCGGGCCACCTTTGCTGCAGACAGCAGTGGGTGCTTATGGCCCCAGCAAGTCCCAGGTTGAGCCCAGCGGCCCCTTCCCTACATGAACCCTCATGGATTCAGGGGCAGCAGCTGCATGAGTGGGAGCCCTGGGAGAATGGGGGGAGGGAGGGTCCTCAGCTGTGCCCTGTAGAAAGACAAGGGCAGCAGAGCCAAGAT